GCAGTGACTACTCTAACATCAACAAATGAAGATTCATTAAAAATGTTAACAATTTGTCCATTTGCAGTAGAAAAACTCAGGGTTCTTCCCAGACCTGCCTTTATGGTTTTCGTGCCTATAGCAAGATGTAGAAATTTTTGGTGGCCAGAAGTTTGTTTCAAAGCTATTCTTAATAAAGGGTCTCAAGGTACAATCACACTTTCCACTGTGCTTATTCAAATGGCTTGAATCTGAAAAAAGCTTCCCTGATTTAATTTAATATATCCCACTCCTTCAAAAAAAATCGCAAACCTACCAAACAAAATGAAACCCCCAAAATTATTTTACTCCAATTTCCACCAAGACATACATCTTCATCTACTTGACGCTGTCACCCAATCTCCATTTTTCTAACACATGGGATAGTCTCTACATCTATAAGAAGTGATTTGAAAGACTCAGATGGAATGTTGTGATTTGAGGAGACTCAGACCCATTACATGACAGCTGTAACAACAGAAGTACAAATTTAGCATTGCAGCAACCTCAGGAAAAGTCCGCCTGGCTTTTGCCAGGACAGTGCCAGCTTTCCTGACTCTCTCAGGTATTAGTTGAGAGAAGCTAAGTCCTGGGACTTTTAACTATCCTTAGATGTTCTTATGGAACTGAAACAGGACACATGCAAATAGTCCCACATATTTCAATATTGGGCAACAAAATCTGAGACAGGATTCTTGACTTTTCTACTGGGTTTGTTTCTACCTCCCCCTTCCCAGCAATTCAAGATGTTAAACTTTGACAAACCAAGATGATTATTCCATGCTTATTTTTTTATATATTCTTGGCTTATAATATTGATGATGATATCCACTTCCTGACAGTCAAATGTCTGGATCAGGCTAGCAGAATGCCACAAATATAGTTTCCTCATGCATTCACTTAATGATTAGCAAATTTGAAAGAAGCTGACAGTATCAGTATGAAAACTAAAGCATTCCTCATCAGTACAGAATTTCAGGATCTGGCTCATATTGGAATAATTGCTAGGTTCATTATATTGTCATTTAACATTGACCTGATTGGTGTGTTTTGACAGAAGATTCTAATCCTAGGCACTATGGTCCCACCATAGAAAATGCTGCCAATGAGGTTAAGAAGGGAGGTAAGTATTTTCTATCAGTTCCAAAACAACATAGTAAGTATATTCAAAATAAAGAATTACATAGCAAAGAAAGAAAGGATTAAATTATCTTTCAAGTGGAGGATCCACAACAGTATCTTACCCTGAAACAGGAGGCAGGACAAAGTGTTTCCTGTTTGAGGTGATATCTTTTACTATAAAGTGAGATTCTCTGACTTCGTCTGATCATTCACATCATTCACTACAGCACATGAGTTTTCAGAACATTCAATTAATCCAGAAGATTTAAAAAAAAAAAAAGAAAAAAAGAAAAATCTGTACTTCTGGGGAGAAGGGGAAGACAGAGAAGTGGTGAAGAGAGGTATCACACGTTAGTGCTTTACAGCTTTCCTTAGTGTAACACACAACTGCTTTTTTAAATCTCTAATTGCCACCTTCAAAATTGTTCTTTTATTTAATTTAGATTAAACTCGTGTATGTGATAAATAGGCTACTAACGCTGTTCCAGGCACTGCCAGTGTCTATAATCCTTTTTGATAAGAATTATGTGCATGGTAGCTGAATGATGGGACTGACTTTCTCTCTCTCTAGTCTGGTTTAGGTCAAGTAAGATTCAGGTGATGACATTTCATATGAAACCAACAAAGTGTGAAAGGTTATAAGTGAAAAAGCTTCTCTTTTCCTGCAGCTTCCTTTTAGGCAAACAAATGAATAATGAATTCACTGTAACATCTTCATTTGAGGTACTCAGCTGTAAAATATGTACATTCTCAAAGCTGAAGTTACTCAGAAATCTAACACATGCTAATGAAACAACTTTGTTTCTGCAGATGCAATTAAAATTTCCATCTTTATCTATGCAGTCCAGGTTAAAAAGCCTGATATCAAGCTGCAGGACTACATAATGAAAAAAGCAAGCTACACAGAAATGCCAACAGGAGATGGAAAGTAGATGAAGTCCCAGAGAGAAATGATCTTGCCTTGCAGCAAGCCAAGACACAAAAGCAATCAAAAAAGAATCAAAGGAAAAAGAGAAACAAAATTAACAAAGATCTTAATCTCTAATGGTATGTAAGAGTGTTTGTATTTCGTGTTTGAAATTTCACTTGGTCTGCTGCTATAAGGATATGCTATATAAAATGATAGCGTAAGAAAAAACAACAATGAAATACTGTCATCGTGTTCTTTTCCCACACAGGGATTACCACTGCTGCCTCCGCATCAATACCATTAATTACATTACATGTAGCTACTGTATTAGGAGAAGAGGTAACTGGTATGCTATATTCACAGAGGTGCAGAGTCTAAGACTGGAGCTGAATTACATACTGGATACATGGTGTCTAACACTATGCATTGAGTGCATCAAACTCACTTGACCTATGAACACAGAATGAGCTAAATTATGCACAAAAAAATACACAAACAGAAGCATTGAATGCACAGACAAGCCATTGACTATATTATCTGGTCTCTCAGGGAATGTATTGCTGCTGAATGCTAATCACTTCTGGAGGTGATTACTATTCTGATCAGTGTTTTTTTAGGGTGCAGTCAGCAAAGGCTAGAGTTAGCTTAAAACTCTGCTAAGCAATTATTGGAGAGAATGAGTGGAATTTCATTTAGTTACATCAAAACACCTTTCTAGACAGTGGCTGTCTCTGGCCTGCAGTATTAAGATAAACGCTCAAGTATTTAAGTGCACCTTCTGCAATGGGCTGCTTATGAGGATCAGATTTTTTCTTAGCATTGATGCTATTTAGCAGCAACTTTATTATATAAGAAGCAATTAGTGAAGAAATGGGTAAAATTTAATTTCCTTAATTCCAAACAACTGCCAGTGCCTAGACTAGACAAGGCCTGTAGACTCAAGATAAAATGAAAATTTCTGATAAAATTACCCTCTGCTATGTACTAATTGCCATCAGGTATGTACAGGCAGTGGTGTTAATGTAGGTTGAATTTACATGTGGAAAGTAATTCTATAATTAGAATGCTATACATTGCTTGAACTGCAAAAAACCTACTCTATTTTTAAAAAGTGATGAAATGGTAAAAGAATAATTTTATATATGTACTTCGCTAAGCCTCCAGAAAGGAATGACTGTTGCCAAGAGGTTCAAAAAGTTATGTATTCATTGCAATTACATGTATGGCACATGAAAAAAATATCAATGCCAACACAGTACAGCATTAGTCTTTACAGTGCATTCTTCCCTGTTCCAAGCTTACACATGCATGAACATTTTCATTTTGAAATGGAGCTCATCCATGAGTTACTGAAATATCAGCTATGATCCAGTTACCTCCATAAGATACTTTTTACTGATTTAAAAGCTTTTCTGGATGATAAATCTCCTCTCCTCCTCCCCAGGCTCTTTTTCTTATTCTGAACTGTTCTTGATCCTCTGTAGTCATGGCATTTTTTAACATGTTGCACAGTGCCCTAGGTAACAGAGATTTTTGTATTGCTAAGGGCCTTCTACCTGCAATCCTGCAGCCTGCCTCCCACTTGCAGCTCCCTACCCCTTCACAGAAGCTCCCAGGACAGTGTAGCCCAGAACACCTGTGGCAGTATTTTTCCTGTGACACTCTTGTCTGTTATTTATCTCCTGGACTTATACTTGAAAACCCTTATACTGTTGCTAAGGGAGGAAGCAATTGCCACTGATGTTAGAATCACCCTTTCTTTCTCCCCCTTCCTGATTTCTACCTTTGGATGTAGCTTCTGGTTTACACTACAGGACTCATTAACGAGTTTGCAGAAAGCTCAGCAATGAACCAGCTGTGACACCTTTCACAGTCCATGTGTGCTCCCATCAACGATAACAACATCATAAGCAGGAACAGCCCATGAGAAGTTTGAGTACGTCTTGACATAAAACGGAGTGATTGTGGGAAAAGTACAATGGGAGAACCACCTGCTCTACTGGAGAGGATACTGAGGGCTGGGCACTCACTTCTTTTTCTCAATGGCCACTGGGAAGGTTTTTCCCTTTTCTTTTTCTCACCATCCTTCTCTTATTTTTTTCCTTTCACTCCTTTCCCCTCAACAATATTCACCACTAGAATTGATGAATGCCATTAAATACGAACCTGCTAGTAAATCTCCATGCAACACACAGTGCTCTGTTACTACTCTTCCCATCACTTTCCTTGTTATGTAACAAAAAAGTATTAGTACTTTTGATTTCTTTTCCAAATATAGCACACATTAACCACTTCTATTATTAGACTAGTATCCTTATGTTTTAGTCCTTTGCTTTCCTAACTTTACTCTGACCTATAAAATTGAATTTGAAATATCAGAGATAATTTTGTATTTTATTACCACGTATGCTGTTGTAGAGTTTTCCTAGCACCCAGCAGGTGCTAGGAAAAAACATTCTCATGTTTCTTAAGCAAATCCAAATCCTCACTAATCTTAACTAATGTTTAATCTATACCACGTAAAACTGAAAACTGAATGCTGTTGACATACATTAACTTCCTCATAACAGGATGATACAATCGTATTCTTGGTACTACAGAGAAAGTAACATTTTAATTCACCTCCTAATATTTTCAGTATGATTGAAACAGAAAAAAAATAAATCACTGTGGATCAAGAGATTTCAAGTTTTTCAGAGTATAAAAGAACCTACGAAATAAGCGGTGTGACTTAGGAGTTTCATAGTAGAACTAACATTTCCTATATAAGTGATTTTCATAGTATAGACACTTTTAACTGATGGCAACCTGAAAAAAAAAAATCAATTCTTGTGCATATACAGGAGGCAGACAAACATACATGAAAGAAACAAAAATCTTATCTAAGTTATTATTAAGGTACAGTATTATTAACATTGTATTTTTCTGTATATTGATATGCTTTCCTTACCCTGGACCTCTCCTCTAGCTTTGTCATCATGACGACAGTAGCACCCCGTTGCTCCCACATCATTCTCCAGAAGTCACCAAAGGTTTCTGGCAATGCCCCTTGTGTTGCTATATAGGCATTCTGCTTTCTGTATCCATCTATGTAGTTGGCATTGATATAGTCACTACCTGGTATGCCTGCAAAGAGAGAAGAGTGAAAACACAGGGCAGCAGTTCTGTGTTGTCCTATTGTACAAGGGCTAAAAAATCCTGTGATGCAGCTGGATCAGTGAGTCCTGGCTTGCTGCATGCCAAGTAGTACACGGGTACTTGCAAGTGAGTGTATGCCATTTGTGGAGCCGAGGGGTATGATAGCCCCTCTGGGAATAACCATTCTTTTGAAACAAAGGACCTAGTCTGATAAGGAAGTATAAAAGAAGCCTGAAAATCTGTAGCAGATGGAGAGACCTGGGAGTGGAAACACCAGCATTTAAAAGCTTATTTCTTTTAAATATAGAAAAAGGGTTAATATTGTCAGACTATTAATATTACTGCTACATTCTTTTTCCCCATTAAATGGGAAGCTAACTACAACCTATGCTATGTAAGTCAGGTTTAAGAAACAGTGGCATCTGCTATATGGTGTGTGCATGAAATAAAGACCTTTGCAAGTCTCAGTAAAAGTGAAATGCATGATAAGAAGGCAAAATCCAAGACTTGTGGGCACATTGGACCTACACTGTCAATTGCTTGAGGCTCAGGTATTTTGGACAAGACTTAGAGAGGGACTTTGGGTGTGTCTACAAGACACATGTCGATGCTTTGAGGTAGATGGCAGGGAGCCAGCTCCGACCTGGAATCTGTTTAAATAAGGGTGTGCAGTGCCATGTCTGTACTGAGAGCTGGACCATAACATGCTGCCTGCCAAGGCCAAGGAGTCGTATTGGCTCTAGTGAAGATCATGTTACTAGCCTGAACTAATGAGGCAGCCATCCTCACAGAAAGGGGTAAATATGGACATACGGGTCTCAGTCCCATCCCTCCTGGATTCAGCAGTGCAGTGTCCAGTTTTTAACTCAGACTACGTGCCTCTGGGAAGACAAAGCACGGCAGGCATCAGTTTTGATGTCACTGCTGATTTTTTAACTGATAACTTGAGGAAGAAGAGATACTCATGTGAGATCTCAGTGCTAGAGGGATGGCAAAGCAGTCTTTCTCACATTACTGCAGTGTTGAACATGGAGTGTTCCCCAGAAGAGTTAGCTGTAATACAGGACTGTGCATCGTAATAAAACGATACAAAAAGCTTGTTAAAGGAAGTAACAGAAGTTAATTATTCTTTGAGCAGAAATGAATGATTTACGTTTACACGGACAATCTGCCATCCCAAAGTCAACAACCTCAGGATGCAGTGCAGGTTCCACAAGGTTTCAAAAGAGAGTCAGGGTGATACAAGCTCCCTGGCTTACTCTAAAGCTGTGACTGTTTTCACTCCACAAAGCAACAGGGTTGAATTTCTTTGGCTATGAAACACAATAAATTATCAAATATGTTTAAAGAAATGTTTCTTATGCTTTCTGCCAGAAACTGAACCTCCATATCTATTCTGATGTGTTATCTCCTGCCAGTGATGCCAAACCAGGAATTGTCATGGCCACGCTCCTCTCTTTCCTGACAACCAGTGACATACATCTGAAAATGTCTTCCAAAATAATCTGAATTTGAATGGAAAGTAGAGGTATCTCTTTAACACTTTTTGTTTGTTTGGTTGGTTTTAGCTACAATATGAAGAGCTTCTCCATTCATTCTGGGTGAGCTTAGTGTTGCATTCCATTACTTACTCAATAATGAACAAAACCACTGATTAACTGTGACCCGTATTAAGACCCAAGATAATATTGAAATGATTCAGATTATGGGTTACTGCAGCTGTAGGCTGGCATAAAATTTTGCCTTTATACCCAAGAAAACTTAATAGATTTTCTTGGTTTATATGTTCAAATTATATTTAAACACAAATTTGAATTTGATTTGACTTTCTGTACAATTAAAAGAAAAATATGACAAAATATTTTAGAGAAGGAAAGAGTTTGTAACTTCAGGGGAACAAGAGAGGCAGCAAATCGCACTCCTCAGGCAAGATGCATGGATGGACAGAGGAAAACTGGTTGACTATGATTAGAACTGATTAAAAGTCTCTTCTGGGAGAAACAAAAGAAATAAAAAAAAACTTTTTAGACTGCATAGTCTACAGCTGAAAAGCATGATTTCCCTCCATGAAAGGCAGAAACTGGAGTTCAAAACCTTCACACTAGTAGAGTTCAAACTTTTTTACATGACACTTCTTATTGTGGATATTGGAATTAATGACTTAGAAAATACAATTGCTAGGCACAATGCTGTATTTTCTTCCTTTATCAAGGTAATAAAACATTTTTGCACAAAACAGATGAGAAAGAAAAATGAAGCCAACAGGAGAAATCTACACCAACTGGGTATTATTACCAAAGGAACTGAGAAAGCTGGTAAGAAATGTTTTCTGCATAAATTAGAATTATATTATGATGTCTGGTATCATACTTTGAAGCATATGTTATAAATAAAAGCCTGAGGGAAAAATGAAAAAGAAAAACAACACTTTGTAAAGTGGTTAAATGATCTCCTGGGAAAGCTGTCCTTTGGAGCTGATATTGCACAAACTCAGCGTGAAAATTAAGCATGAGAAGTATTGCAAATTATGTACTAAAGAATGACCTTTACAAATCTTAGCAGCCAATCCTAGTACCTGATGTAAAAAAAAAATCCACAATGTCTAAAATTGTAAATACTCTTTCTACTTACTAGCTTGTATTAAATTTATCAATCATATTAATAAATCATATTAAAAAAGTAACTTCTAAATTAAACAAAATTCTAATTCTTTAAATTTGAAAGAAGAAAAGATAGTTTCCAGATTATACCTTTCTTGATCATAGATGCAAGGAAGATAGAATTAAGATTAACAATTACTGATATTTGCAAAGAGAATTTCTTCCCAGCTAGCTTAAAGCAGAAATTTCCACTCTATTTCTCTACTTGGCTTTTATCAGGAAGACACCAAAAATCCTGTATATTCTTTAGCCAGAAAAATCCTTTTACAAGGCAACTTAGCCTGATGGTGCATGAAGAGGATGTGGCTGGGACATGGACAGGAGAGTCTGTTTACTACAGGACCAGAGCAACTGTTAGTGACAACTAACGCAGTTTTGGGAAAGACTAGGCGCTGCGGCTCCATCACTGTGCACTGCAAGATTTTCATCAAGGGTTTATCTCTAGCAGAATACAGTATATGGTTATATCACTACTGAGATCAAAAGAACAATAGGATTCACAATGCTCAGCTCCATTGTCTTTCTCACCCACAGTATCCATTGTTTCTTTTGTTCTCCATCCATTTTCATAGTCCCTTCAAGTATCATATTTCTCACACTGAGTCTCTTTTCATCACTGTTTTCATGCATGACCTCAGTTTCACATCCTATTCCAAAATCCTTTTGTACTCTGTAATACCATTTTCCCACTCTCACTTTCTATCTCACACTTTGCCACACCAGTTTTTGCTTCATCAGCTACGTCCTTACAATGCATAAACTTAAAGCCCTCTAGGGAAGATGCCTTATCATAAGAAGCCTAATGAAGTGTATGTCATTTAAAAATAACATACACAAAACCTGAACAACTGTAAATATCTACACTGACCAAGCAGAAATAATTATCAAAGGCAAATGAATCTAAATATTAAAATGCCACTTTCTGCAATGACTTTTCTGGCCATAATCTCATTCTGAGGTGAGAAAGCTGAACAATTCTCTGTCAAGTCTAATAGTGCAAAAGCAATCAAATGACAACTAGTTTGACTGCAGTACAATGAAATCCTGCAAACCTTTGTTAGCTGCCACAGCTTGAAGGCAACATACCCACAAGCACAGCAGCAATTGCCATCATTACTTAAATTTGGGTTTAATAGTTAAGAGAGGTCAGTTGTTCTGTAAAAACATGGGTCAAGAAGGGGACAAAGCAGCCAAATTCTGCGTTCAGTGATATTGATATGAACCTTAACTAAGTTTATTGGCATCAGTGTGGTTTACTGCAGACTTAGGATGGCATACCTGAAGCACAAATTTAGGTTAATCCATGTAGTATAACCTGACTTTTAAAAGTTTCATGAAGGTGGAGACACAGTTTCTGCACAAAAAGTCAGCTAAAGACTAAGCTTTCAGTTCGTAATTCTACTGTAACTATTCTCTAGTAGCCTTTTCAACTATGATGATGAATGACCAGAGTCTGCAATCTCCTTATTCTGTCAGACAGGAATCAAGCACAACGGGGTAAGAATCAGATGAGTAGTTGAGCATAAAAGACATCCCATTTTCAAATATCTCAAGAGAACAAAGCAGTCCAGATTTTACTGAGTAAGAGTGAATGAGCAATGAAACAAAATTAGCCAATGCCACAATTAAAGTGCAAAAGATTTTAAAAAATGGAATCTATAGCTCCTGATTTGTGCTGAGACTGTACTCATAAAGTGAGATAACAGTACAGCTTGCTGCAACATACAGTCGGATCCACAAGGCTAACAATGTAGACCTCAGAATAATTGACTTGATTTCCTGAAGACAGTTATAATCTTAAATAGCTTTAATTAGACTTCACATTTTATTCACAAACTGAAATCAAATAATTAAATTATTTCAAGCCTTTACAAAGTCTAAGTACTGAACAGCCTTTCTATTTAAAACAAATTAAACCATAAACCTTTGTTTCTGTGCTGCTTCCCTAAGAGATGTGCTGTTAGTCATAAGAAGAGTGTGAAGTAATAGGATTAAATTCTGTCATGCTTGTAAACAAGTTAGAAAAATGTAATGATGAACTCAAAATGCTGATGAAGGTGTACTATTGATTTAAATGAATGACTGATGTTTTGAACTATGTCAGGGCAAAAATGAACCCAGGCAACTACTAGGTGCCAGTAACAGCTGTTTATGTGGAAGTTTTTGTAACATAAAATCTATGTAGTTAAGGATATTATCAAATTCAAATGGTCTAAGCACAAATCCGTACTGTAAGAACTCACTGAAAAATTAAGCAGCACAAGACCAATGAAGATATTTGTAGTAATGAACACTGGTAATGAAAGCTTTTTACAAAGACTGAAGAAA